CCACCATAGTTCCGATCATCATAGGCACAACTGGCGTCGTCCTGAAAGACCTCAAAGGACATGTCAAGAAGCTGGAGTGTGAAATATCACTGGATATTCTCCAGCGTACAGCAATCTTGGGCACGGCCAGCATCCTTCGCCGTGTCCTTCAGAATTAAGACGAGTATGAGGTCTGGGATGTGGTTCATCCCCCCTCATATCTCCAATACCGGCAGGTGCCGTGGAAGGATTTATTTATTTATATATATTAGATGTGGGGATTCTCTCCCAGCGGGGTGGATGGGATGACCGAGCACTTCAAACAGTTTTTGTCCTTTCGCGGAATGAGCCCGTTCCATCCATCAAAGGGCATAGACTTTGTGGCCTGTTGAAGGGTACGGTGACCTTCGAGAAGAACCAATTTCCGCTTCTCAAATTCTCGCCTCACTCGACCTCACCCTCTCGAGGACTTCTTTGACTCAGCATTCAAACTTCAAAATCGGAGAATGAGACTCGAGGCAGAAATGGAAGACGAACGATCTTGGTGTCCATTTCTTCTTCAATGAGTCTTCTTTGACGTGGACTAGTTCTGTATTCCCCACACCAGAGGTATCTAGAGCCGCCTGAGAGAAAGTCTGAAATGGACAGGAATCCCAGACTACCCGCCGAGTTTGGGGCAGTCCAATCATCATTTTATCTTCTCCCGATGCACTAAAAAAAAAATATTGCGCTTAAAAATGTGAGGAAAGCCGGAGTGGAATCCCTTTATCGAGTTCTTTACCTTTTCCCTTGAAAATTACAAATACAACAGTACTTTCATTTGGTCAGATGAGTATCTGCGGCATTAGATGCCAGAATAGGCCACGTAATGAAAGATATTGTCATCCCTGTCCTAATTGAATGTCAGCAAATGCCGATTGCTTCACCCTTGGCATTTATTCCGCCGGGGAAATCGCACTCAGCCACATGTAGAGAGACGTGGCCATAAGGACATAAAGACGAGGGCAGTGAGATGTGGAGGTAATATGGAACGGGATACATGCAGGATGTAAGAGATGAAACCGATCTATGTTGTCGGCCCGTGGAAGATTGAGAAGGCCTACTAAGGGCTTCCCTTGCCCGATTGCTTCCCAGAACTCCATGAATGCATTCACTCTTACAATGTCCGAGAAAGCCCTAGCCTTCACGCTTAGTAGTTTTCCCAAAGTTGGCATCGGCTATGATCTGGGATGCGAGCGACTAAGACGGCAAATGAATCACACTCATGAGAAATTCTGTTTGATCTAAGTCTGGGCTTCTTCGTTGCTACGGAAAATTAAATGGTTTTATTTATGTGTGTGGTTCGGGCAAGAATGGCTGAGGCCCAGGTTGGAAGAATAGAATTCGCCAGCTGATAGTCGGGTGATGACAAAAGGGTGACGTCACTCGTATGCGTTCGCCTCGGGCGTCCCTATGCGGACTTTATCTCTTCGGCAAGTTTTTCTAAAGCAGAACAGAAAATCGAAACTCTCATAAAGTGCCCCGATCCTTTCGTCAGAAGACGAGAATCGAGATGACTTTTCTTCGATCAAACAGACGAGACGCAGCTTCGAACGGGATCTCACATCGCAACATGCAATATAACTCTAAATAGCAGATCACTTCTGCATCATGCTGAATATTGATTGGCGAGTAAACATAAATGGAATTTTCTGCATTCCCAACGAAGAAAGCGATCATATTTTTCCATTCTTGGTACGTATTTCTTTTTGAGTTAAATCTGAAAGAATCGAAAGAGCAACTGGAAGGGTGGAATTTTAAGGATGGCCTTCTACCTACGAAGTGATTCGTCCGAAGATGTTCTCCATGCTGTAGGTATGTATTCATCATATATTCATCTTTAGCCCTGGAATGTCTCGAAGATGACTAATAGCGTCGGAATTGGTATGGAAGGAGGTTCTGGCATCGGGGATTCCGCTTCGGAATTAAAGGGAAATGAAAGATTCAGATGCAAAAAATTGTATTTATAGGAGCACATATGCAAGGGACGTATGGACACAATGGACGCGGTTTTTTTTGTGGCTACCTCAAATGGCAAATGAGTCATTCCTACAATGATTGCCAAAATCCTAATATTGAAAAATCTTTGTTTTTCTTCCGGAGAAAATGTACACTCACGTGTATACACTCATCGTTCTTCCTTTCTCTATATTGTTGTTGAATTAGATGTGAAAAAAGGAAAAATCACTTTCTTTCCGAAGAAAAACATGCTTGCCGATTGCGCCGTTATCATGGGCAAATTGATGAATACTCTCCCGCTGAGTGCTTCCCAATCCCCTCGTACTACCCTCTTCTTCTCCCATTCCCATGCTTTCCCTTTCACAATATGAAACGTTTTCAGCCTGATTGACTGCATCGAGTGCATACTTCATTTCACGAGATGGCATATAACAGCGAAGAAAAATGAAGAGAGAGAATATAGCTTTGAACGAAAATATACTCGTGACGTGAGATGGCAGGGGACGAGAGGACCGATACGAGGACCGAGGCGATGACCGAGACGAGGATCGAGACGACGATCGAGACGAAGATCGAGAAGAAGACCAAAGACTGTCATTATTCTTGGCTTCCCTGTATCCCCAACCTTATCTACTCTAACTCGAGCTTAGGGCTCTGTCCAAGTGGAAAATTCCGAGCTCCATTTTTTCCGATTTATTTGATGTGGGATTCCCTCTCAAATTTCCACGTCAAGTTCCACTTGACTTCAGAAAGCAGAAAAAGTTGACATATTGTCACAAGTTCTTCTTCTCCGCCTCTTTTTCTTTCCGTACATGAGGAGAAAATCGAGAAGCGGAATGAAAAAGGGAAGCAAATACTCATCCCCTCTTACAAAGCTTCATTTACTCCTTACGAAACATAAAATTATTAGAGTAGGTTTCTTTATCCATATCGAACAAAGCGCTCAATCATTCTTGTATGCTAATATTCAATCATAACAGGACATATGTCGTGCCAATAATCTCAAAATGAATGTTTCCCTCCTTCATGCAAGAAATAGAACTCAATTTCCGTCCGTCCCCCCCCCCCCATCACATTTCGACGTCAATACGATAATCCCGTTCCTACCACTTTCGAAAAATAATTCTGAATCGTCGTCATCCGACGCCATCGCCTTTGAATGAAAATGATTCCATTGAGGGTATTTGGTTGACGTTCGTACTACTGCATTGGATAAGCAGCCCTATGATTATTGAGAAGATGAACATGCTAGGAGTCCGAAGAAATGGTATAATCGGGACGGAATCGATATGAACCTTGCAAGGGCATGTAATCCCCCGATAATTGGAACTCCTTCCGTTGCCTTTCTCCAACTTTCGTCTTCATCAGATTTCTGGAAAATTTGATGAACAGAATGTTCAATGCTTCGAGAAGCAACCTTTCCCTCCACGCTAGAAATAATCGATCGCGGCGAAGGTGTCCGCCACCTCTCCTCCAGGTAGCCGTCTGGGCCACGTCCGACGACGCAAGCGTAGACGAACCCAGATTCGGGACAGAGCGCGTCTCTAGATACTTTCTACTGGCCACGTTTTTCTTCATTCATTTCTGCGATCGTGTCGTCGTGTCAGAATTTATTCTCATATAACAATTATGCTGGAATTACATTGAATGCTCGTATAAATTCATTTCCTCGCTTTTCGCAAAACCAAATCACAAGCCTGTAGTTTATTTAATTTAATCATTATGGCCATATAAGGAGATCCCCATACGATTCTTTCAGCGGTCGAGGATTAATAAAGATTTTCAAGCGTTGTTTCAAGCTCATATACATTATTGCTGCAAAATTCTTGGTGAAGATCCATGCTTTATCCATGATTTGGGATAAAATTCGAAGCATAGTCGTTGTTTCTTGGGTAGAAAAACCGCAGTGGGACGTTGCTCAGACTTTCCAAAGATTTTAGATCGATAAGCGAATGGAAGGACAGGGGTAGGGGGTAAAGTAAAATGTGGAAACAAATTATTTCGCTTTTGTTCTATCTTTCAGTAGATCGTTAGGCATGACCATCGTCGCCATTTTGTAAGAGGCAGGGAGTCGCCCATATCATCCAGCAAGTGGATGCGACGATGGACTGAAAGAGGATCGCGACTACGAATATTTCTTTATCAGAAGAGGACGAGAATTGCTGGAATTCAACACATGGGATGATGATACCCACGGATGCATTCATTTGTACGATGGAATTTCCCGTGATAGAATGTGTGTTATGGTACTTTCCGAAGGCCGAGAGATGTATTGAAGTGGGAGATCTTGTTCCCGTTCCTGTTCTGGGGAAAACTGGCGATGAACCACGAGGTTATTCGCTCATACATCTCTCAAGTCAATACGATGCCACCTCTCCCAGCAGATTCAAGAATCCTTCCTATTTCCTTTTTCTTCTTCTCTATCTCCGAAATGATGAGCTAGCATCGAGATTGATACTCGAAAGCAGGAAGAGCCCTGAGAGAGTGCCACACTAAGAAGTCCTAGTCACGGGATCGGTACATTAAACTCAGCAAGTATCAAATTTCGTCGGAGTATTACTTAAATGTACCATTTCTTTAACGGTACATTTGACAACGTAATACTTTTTTCCGATGTAGGCAGCAATGAATATTCAACCTTTTCGTTTGCCCTTTGAATTTCTTGAAGCTTGTTACTTGGAAAGATTACGACAATTTCCCTCTCCCTTCCCTATCCTCTCGCTTCTTCCACTTTATCACGAGACTGCACGTTCCTCGTTTAGATTTGTACAATTCCATCGCAGCTCTCGAAGAGAGTGAGAAAGAATTTATTGAATTTCGTTTATATGTCGAATGTTCAGATGTCTTAAACAATATAATGGAAAAACATTTATAAACGATGGAACAGACCAAGAGAGATGTTTGGCAGGAGATGGGGATCCCTGTTTATGCGGTCGATGGTCATGAAGGTGGCCTCGACCCGCTGGATCCCATACTGTTCCCGGATCTCTCCGCATCCTCCCGTGATGGCCACGCTTCGGTTTGGCGTATTGTGGAGGCTAAACATGGCCCCGATGTTCAGATCTCCCTTGTGGTAGACCGTGGTCTTCCGTTGGCGAGTCTGCGCATGCGCCGACCCCAAAACCACAGATAGGATCACACAGAGACATGCACCCCACGAGAACGAATGCCCGTGGATGGTCCTCGTCCTTCTCCCGCTTCCAGGTTTGGAAGGGGTTAAACATGCCACCATCCTCCCGACAGAGAGAAGACGTTGCTCATTTTCGTCTCCACTCATTCATTTATTCGCTGATCACATAGTTTCTGTTGTCTGAAAGAGAGCAGGAAAAAATTATTTGATTTTCTTCTTCCTGAAGGCATATACCGAAAGATATGTTCAAAAACGGGGATATAAAATAAAAACTCAGAAATAAAACTTGAAAGGTAACCTCAATGTTTAACTCTCGGGAAAAAGTAACATATATATATTTTAAATCCTCTGCTATCACGTTCAGCGATTGAAAAAGCATCAATCTCATTTGTCAGCATCATTCTCATCTGTTAGCTATTCCCTCTCCTTCATCACGATACTTGGGATCTTTAACGACGGCATGCCAATGTTGCACATCGTGGCCTAGTCCAAGTCACTGAGTTAAACCATTTTCGACTCTCACCTCAATCTCATCCTCTTGAAAATGTCGTGTCCTGAAACGGATTAAGTCTAAATACGCATTCTGCGACGACCGACGCCAACAATTTGAGATAAGAGGAACGGGACTGAGAGTGGAAACACCCAACTCGTCTAGTCTTGCCTGCCGGATGAATTAAACTTTCGCGGGATGGCCTTTTCTCACGTCTATTCCCAGACCATCATTTGTCTCACCCGGATTATAGGAGCTCTATCTGCCAATTCTCTTGCCTTGGGAAGGGTGTCCCAGTGACCTTGGTACCTCCTATAACTCCTGTTTCATATTGATTGCAGTCCATCCCAACTTAATGGCGTCTTTGGCCGAAGCAGGTGGCGGTATATCCTCCAATTTTCTCGATCATGGCAACGGACTCAAGCTCGAGTGACGAAATCAAGCTATTTAGTCGTTCTACCTTGTACTAGGCCTAACGACTGGTCTTCCATAGGCTATTTTAGACGGGGAAATTCTGGGAATCTCATGGGGGAGCATGCGGCAGACGCGTCGGAATCACTTTCAAATCTCTCTATCAAGGGAAGTAGCTTGACCTAGTGGTTCTCACGGATGACGGCACTCTGCATGCTCTCATAACGCATTACACCGGCCACCCGTGGCAAGAACATCACGGAGGCAGTTCGTATCCTTCTTTCTTTCGGCCAGTATGTTCATAGTCATGGGTGAGAGTGGAGAAGTAAATGTCCATAAAAACAGAGCATTTCGTCTCCTTGGAAATGTCAGACAAGGCAATCATAGTCGGCTAGGGTTCCCGCAAGACCTGGAATTAAGATCGTCGATCTCGTTTCCGTGTCGCCCATCCATTATTCCAGAGCCAGACCCCGAGGTACTGAAGATTATCCATCCGTTCCCGTGGGGTCGCCCAATATGTAGGGTGCACTGTACGGGACTTTTCGACAGGATCATAACATACGCCTCGGGGACGCTGAGTTTCATTTCCTGTTGCAGTACATTCGGAGTGGATCTGATCCAGCCTGCTCCAAAGTTTCTGTCGAGACCCAGCCAAAAGGACAGCATCATCGGCAGAGAAGTATTTTTTCCACGATACCACTGATGTTGACCTTGTAGGACCTAATTCATCTCTTCGAGGGACGCTTCTTAGTTGAACTCATTGTTCGATCCCTTGGATTCGAACTGCAACCAAGATCCTGACTCGCTCGAATCTGAGGCGGATCGGAGCGACTCTTCCCCAATTGGTTTCCATTAGATCACGCTATCAGCCAGTCGAGGCTAATGAGTATATCCCCTCTTCCACTTGAGTAAACATAGCTGGGATATATAGTCCTTTCCTCTAACTCGATTAAAATTTAGTGACTTATTCTTAGACTCCCTTCTACCTGTTAAAAAACCTTCAGATAAAGGAACTCAAAGTTCGTTTGCAGTTAAGAGTACAAATAAATTAAATTTTAGATTTGCGTTCATCTTATTATCGACATGACTGGGTATTGTTCGTTTAAAACCCTGCAGATTGCGGTTTTAAGTTTCCGGGCATCACCTTTCCTCCACGACCCGGTTCAATAACTTTCAATTTGAATCATCATCTGTTCTTATTGCAATCTTATCCTCTCGGGAAATGTAAATTCCATTTGGAGAAATTGACTTACTGGTGAAGATCGGGAAGGGAACTCCCGGCTTCGATTCTTTAAGTAACAAGTGTGAAGACGTTGACCAGGGGCCATCTAATGTACGTACATATACGATTATGACTGTGTGAGTGAGTGACGCTAATTCTAACCGTGTTCTTAGAACGGTAGAAAACTGAAACTTGGTGCACGAGTAGCTGTTGGGATGTTACATTCGGAAAAAAATCCTATTCTTAAAGTAAATACAGACAAGGTACAGAAAATAAAATGCACTATTACAATATTCAGTATTTCATTTCGTTACTGCAAAGTGAGTACGGAAAACATAGTAAAGGGACTTTTGGGACACCCTGTACATAACCCCAGGGTAAACTTTTTGGGTGGGACTTTTCTTCCTAATACAATTTCGCTCCATCAAAACGGGCAACTACGTTGGGACGTAGTTGCTCAGGGTCCCCTAATGATACAGATATTGTATTATGCATGGGTACTGGTTATACCAGTACAGCTTCGTCCTGTTGATGGGAACGTCTGGGTAGAGAGATAAAGTATAAGGTACGAAATGATGGAAAAAATAACTCCATATTGGCAGAATAACGATCCAGTTCAGGGCCAGTGAAACCTATGCTTTTCTGGCTAGTAATGCCAATATAGGTCCAGATTAGATGCCGGTGAAGCAACGTTTTCCATCAACATTGCAGCAACATAAATCCTGAAACGTTTCTGCAACGTATATGTAATGAGTAAGTAACGATTTGCAACGTCAATGCAATGTACTTTCGCAACATTCGAGCAACGTTGACGTTTTGGACATTTACACATAGATGCAATCCCAAGTAACACAAGATATTCCAGCAACGTTTGCAATGACATTCGTAGAAGTGTCGAAGCAACATTCCAAGTGAAAACATTGAAGCAATGTTTTCTCAATGTTGTACAACAACTTGCAACATAGAGCAACATAGGCAACATTACGAAAACGTTTAATCAATATACTGTGTTACTTGGGAACATTGTTCTTCAACATTTCCTAAGCGTTGCTAGAATATCTTGTGTTACTTGGGTATATTGCTGAGTCGGTTTGAATATAGGTATAACCCTCATACGAGCTAGGTATTTTCGTAACGTAAGCGGGCAAGGAGAGTCCAAATGGACTCTTCCTTTTTAATTATCAACCTCTATTAATTTGGCTGTTTCGTTTGCAATCGTCTCACAAGAACAATTCACAGATTATTCACACGTCAAATATTAATAATAATAATAAAATTACTCCTTTTAAAAATAAATTACTGAAGCAGTTATAAGTCGTATATTTTACCGTACCATGCAATGTGTTGACTTAGGTTTCTGAAATTTTCACGTTCAAGTTTCATTCCGGGTTGCAATTCTCGCACACTGATTTGACGGCACTGTGTTCGTTGCACAAGAGCTTCTTTCACAAGTGGTAGGTTTGCCGCTGCATGCGCACTTTCTTATGTGGAAACAGGTGGCAGCGCTTCTTCTGTCACTACCGGAGCACCACCGTGGCCCCACCAGAACGCGCAGCAATCGAGGTGAGCTTGCTTTTCTGCAAGCCGTAGGTACTTAATTTGGCGTGGGATGAGAGATTCAGGTCCGAAGATGAAGAACTATCTTCAGACGTTGTACTTTGCTGCGTTCCACAACTGGCACAATTGCATCCACAAAACGTATACTGCGACCCCTCAGACATCCATTGCATACGTGAAGAAGGCAAAGGACCAACAATCTGTTCTATGTTCGATCTGATCGAATCTCTTCGACATGCTCTATTTGATCAAGGGAGTCTTCGCCCCCTTTTGTATCAATGCAGCGCAGGATAATTTCAGGCTTGTGGCCCTCCTCCTCGACAACTTTGTCGCTGTGATGCATGGTTGAGAGCAGGAACATGGCTTTCCCAGGTTAGGGGACGTAGGACGCCAGTGTTGAGTTCTTTGTAAATCCGAATCCCGATGATTCCATACGCAGTTGCTTATTAGGAATGAATTCCTTCGGGATGAACATCTTGTTCTTCTTGATTGTTCCAACTCCCGACTGCCGTTGTTTAACAAGGCCTGTGAGGGGTGAGGTGAGTGGGAGGTGGCGTCGAGGTGGAGCTGTTAAACGGCTGTGCGTTGGAGCAGCTAGAGGGGAGAGCTGTTGCAAGGTGCACATATAAAATGTAATCTTCTTTCGTATGGCCTTGGTGGATAGCAACAAATCACAGAATGATATCAAGTTTTGATATCCATTCGACTGCCTCAGTGGTAGCCTCGTGGATGTTTTTTAAATTGCCCTTGAAGGATCTAATTGGGCATTTAAGTACTATGTGCTGTACTGTCTGACTTGGTGCTCCGCAGTCGCATTGCGAACTATCTTTGATTTTCCATTTGTGGAAAATGTGTCCACATCTTCCTTGGAGCGTCCGGATTCGGTTTAAGGACCATATCTTCCTTGGAAGTGCAAATCCGGGCTGAAGAGTTGTGGAATCGTTGATGATGGACTTGCGGCATGCTAGCGTTTGCCCAGTCCTCCTTCCATTATTCTTCTGTGGTCTTGCCGTGGTCGTGGAGAGTCTTGGCGTGGATCCAGAACGGCTTTCTGGACTTGAGCCTGTTTGGGGGTGGGCATGTGATGTCGCGGTTGATTGGAAGGTCCGGATTTTCTAGGGCCTTTCGATATTCGCGCACGCATGCCATATTTCTGCGGATTTGTGGAGGTGCTATGTTCGATAAGACCGGAAGCCATGGCAGCGGTGTACTTGCAACGTGCCTGTGATCGTCCACATCGCCGCGTTCAACTGGGTGTCCATCAGTTTCACTTGGGAGCTTCTGGTCCAGACCGGCGCGCAGTATTCTGCGGCGGAGAAGCCGTGCAGAGAGCGGTGGCATTTGCTCCCAAAGTCGTTCCCGCAAGCTCGTGCACGAGGCTATCTCGTGCCTTTGTCTTTGCCGCGACGTTCCGGAGATGTTCTTGGAACGTGAGGCTTCTGTCGAGAGTTATCCCTAGATATTTGGGTAACTTCTCGTGCTGCACTTGTTCGCCGCAGAAGGTGACGGCGAGCTTCTGGTCAGCTT